ACCCAACTGTTGGCCACCCAACAACAGTTTTAAGGAGAAATCTGCTCTATTCATGCTGCTGAAAGGAGGACTCTTTTAAGGTTAGTGGTTTTGTTGGTTTCATGCTTTTCATTATTTGAACTCCTTCAAGCCACTAACCTAAATCTCCCTCCTTAGAAATCCCTGACCCACGGTGGATGTGTTCCTGGTGTCCTGAGTTTTTAATAAACTGTTTAAATCCTTATTCTGTGTTCTGGCTGAAACTTTGGGTCTTCTGACAAAATCAGAATTGGCATAAGGCCTTTCACACTGAGCCATGTTCTGCTGTAGATTTCTTCCTGTTAAAATGATTTTTTTTTTTCATTTTCACAGTTGCTCCTTACATGATCAGAGTGAGGGATTGCTCCAGAGTCAATGACACAATGCAACTGACTGTCTACTGTATTCATACGCTCTTCCAGGAGAGGCAAATGGCTTGATGCAGTCAAATGGGTTCATATAAAGCCTGTGCTCTCTGGTTAATTTGACTGAATTGTATCTGTAAAGTGTTTTGAGTTTATATGTGTTGTGAATTGGCTTATAAATAAACTAAACGTCTCTACATTAAATATCGCTTCAAATACCCCACCCTATTGTCTAAATGCAGCAGAATAACCCAAAGGCACTAAAATATAATATGTGGACAAATATTTCTTACAAGACACCTTTTTTCTTTCTTTACCACTGCTGGAAAAAGAAGCATGAGTAATCTATAGCTTGCAGATTATTACTATACTCATTTCCATGTATATATCTTTAAACATAATTTTATTGAAAAATGTATCAACCCAGAAAAAAAGTTCAAGGCCACCTGAAGATGCTGGCTAAAGCTAATGCTTTTAAGACTAGGCTTAAAATTGTCCTTTTAGATAAAGCTTATAGTTAGAGTGGCTCAGGTTATCCTGAGCTATCTCTATAGTTATGCTGCTATAGGCGTAGACTTCTGTAGGACATAGGGGTGCCTGTTTCATCATTCTGCTTCATTCTATCTCTATTCTCCCAATCTGCAGAATCTGTTAGTTCTATCTCTAACGTTATCCTCTCTGCTTTTTCTCATAGTAGCTTTGCCTCGTCTGTTCCTGTTTGGCTGTGACGCCATCCTGGAGAGAGATATAAACTGTGCTGCTTCCATCAACACCCTTGTTTATACGTAGATGCTGGAGATCGGCCTGTTTTCCGGTGTAGTCCTGTTTCTCTGACCGTGACTGGCTGGATGTGCTCTCTTCATCCTCTGACATGGGAGCTGGCTCTGATCTCGTCTGCCTGGCTGTGTGTCTCCTGGACAGGGCCGCCTTTTACAGCTGCTTTTTGTATCTCTGCTTCTGTCTCTTTGAACCCCAGTCGGTCTCGGCAGATGGCCGCTCACACTGAGCCTGGTTCTGCTGGAGGTTTCTTCATGTAAAAAGGGAGTTTTTCCTCTCCACTGTCGCTACAAGCATGCTGAGTGTGAGGGATTGCATTTGAGTCAATGAGTCGATGCAATCAACTGGTTTTCCTTAGATAGAAAATTTTGAATCAATTTGACTGTATGATCTGGTTGAATTGTAAAGTGCCTTGAGATTATGTGTTGTGAATTGGCGTTATAGAAATAAATTGAATTAAATTGAATTCAGTTAAAGCAGGTATTGACAGAAAATATGCAATTGTCTTTT